TGCCGATGACGTGCCATGATACTGATGACTGCACCTGGTGTGACATGATACTGATGACTGCACCTGGTGCAACATGATACTGATGACTGCACCTCGTGTGACATGATACTGATGACTGCACCTGGTGTGACATGCTACTGATGACTGCACCTGGTGTGACATGATACTGATGACTGCTACTGATGTGACAAGATACTGATGACTGCTGATGACGTGACATGATAATGATGACTGTACCTAGTGTGACATGATACTGATGACTGCACCTAGTGTGACATGATACTGATGACTGCACCTGGTGTGACAAGATACTGATGACTGCCGATGACGTAACATGATACTGATGACTGTACCTAGTGTGACATGATACTGATGACTGCGCCTGGTGTGACATGATACTGATGACTGCACCTGGTGTGACATGATACTGATGACTGCACCTGGTGTGACATGCTACTGATGACTGCACCTGGTGTGACAGGATACTGATGACTGCGCCTGGTGTGACATGCTACTGATGACTGCACCTGGTGTGACATGATACTGATGACTGCACCTGGTGTGACATGATACTGATGACTGCACCTGGTGTGACATGATACTGATGACTGCACCTGGTGTGACATGATACTGATGACTTCACCTGGTGTGACATGATACTGATGACTGCACCTGCTGTGACAAGATACTGATGACTGCCGATGACGTGACATGATACTGATGACTGTACCTAGTGTGACATGATACTGATGACTTCACCTAGTGTGACATGATACTGATGACTGCACCTGGTTTGACAAGATACTGATGACTGCCGATGACGTGACATGATACTGATGACTGTACCTAGTGTGACATGATACTGATGACTGCACCTGGTGTGACATGATACTGATGACTGCACCTGGTGTGACATGATACTGATGACTGTCACAGGTGTGACATGATACTGATGACTGCACCCGGTCTGACATGATACTGATGACTGTACCTGGTCTGACATGATACTGATGACTGCACCTGGTGTGACATGATACTGATGACAGCACCTGGTGTGACATGATACTGATGACTGTCACAGGTGTGACATGATACTGATGACTGCACCTGGCGTGAAATTATACTGATGACTGTCACAGGTGTGACATGATACTGATGACTGTCACAGGTGTGACAAGATACTGATGACTGCCGATGACGTGACATGATACTGATGACTGACCCTGGTGTGACATGATACTGATGACTGCACCTGGTGTGACATGATACTGATGACTGCACCAGGTGTGACATGATACTGATGACTGTCCCTGGTGTGACATGATACTGATGACTGCACCTAGTGTGACATGATACTGATGACTGCACCTGGTGTGACATGATACTAATGACTGCAACTGAAAACTCAAAAGAAACATATCTTGACTAATTAGAATCTTATAATCTCCTGACAAAGAAGAAACTCAACATCTCCTGATTGAAAAGATTCACATCTCCTGACTCAGAGTAAATTCAACACATCCTGCCTCACGCCCTCAAAAGAAATTCAACATCTTCTGACTTAAAAGAAACGCAACATTTTGAGCTCAAAACATTTTCAGCATCCCCTGCCTTAAACGAATACTTAACATCTCCTGTCTCAAAAGAAGCTCAACATCTACCGCCTCAGAAGAATAAAAAATTCTCCTGTCTGATATGAAACTCAAAAACTCCTTCCTCAAAAGAAATTCAACATCCCCTGACTGAGTAGAAACTCATACTCTCCTGACTCAGAAGAAACTCAACATCTCCTGATTAAAACAAATCACAACATCTCCTTCCTCAAAAGAAACCCAACATCTCCTAACTCAGAATAGACTGAAAAACTCCTGATTAAGTAGAAACTCATGATTTCCTGACTCAGAAAGAAAAGCAACATCTCCTGACTCAGAAAAAAAACCGCAACATCTCATGACTCAGGAGAAACGCAACATCCCCTCCTCAAAAGAAACTCTATATCTCTTGCACTAAGTAGAAACTGATAATCTTCTGACTCAGAAGAAACTCAACATTTTTTGCCTCAAAAGAATTTCTATATCTCCTGACTCAGAGGAAACGCAACATCTCTTGCCTGAGGAGATATTCAACATCACCAGCCTCAGAAGAATAAAAACTTCTCTTGCTTCAAAGGAAACACAACATCTCCTTCCTCAAAAGAAACTCAACATCTCCTGACTAAGTAGAAACGCAATATCCCCTCCTCAAAAGAAACTCAACATCTCTTGACTAAGTAGAAACTCATAATCTTCTGACTCAGAAGAAACACAACATCTTCCGACTGAAAAGAAACTCAACATGTTTCGCATCAAAAGAATTTCAACATCTCCTGCCTCAAAAAAAAAAAAAAAAAAAAAAAAAAACCCTCAACATCTCCTGACTCAGAATGGACTAAAAAACTCATGATTAAGTAGAAACTCATAATCTCCTAACGCAGAAAAAAACGCAACATCTCATGACTCAGAAGAAACGCAACATCATTTCCTCAAAAGAAACTCTATATCTCTTGGACAAAGTAGAAACTCATAATCTTCTGACTAATAAGAAACGCAACATCCCCTCCTCAAAAGAAACTATATGTCTTGTACTAAGTAGAAACTCATAATCTTCTGACTCATAATTTTCTGACTCTGAAGAAGCACAACATCCCCTCATCAAAAGAAACTCAACATTTCCTGATTCAAAAGAATCAAAACATCTCCTGCCTCAAAAGAAACTCAACATCCCCCGCCTCAGAAGAATCAAAACTTCTCCTGCCTCAAATGAAACTCAACATATCCTTCCTCACGCCCTCAAAAGAAACTCAACATCTCTTGACTAAGTAGAAACTCAACATTTTTTGCCTGAAAAGAATTTCAACATCTCCTGCCTCAAAAAAGAATATATATAAAACCTCAACATCTCCTGACTCAGAATAGACTGAAAAACTCCTAATTAAGTAGAAACTCATAATCTCCTGACTCAGAAAAAAACGCAACATCTCCTGACTCATAGGAAACGCAACATCCCCTCCTCGAAAGAAACTCTATATCTCTTGTACTAAGTAGAAACTCATAATCTTCTGACTTAGAAGAAACACAACATCCCTACTCAAAAGAAACTCAACATTTCCTGATTCAAAAGAAGCAAAACAATTCCTACCTCAAAGGAAACTCAACATCTCCTGACTCGAACAAAACGCAACATCTCCTGCCTCAAAAGAAAGTCAAGATCTCCCGCCTCAGAAGAATCAAAACTTCTCCTGCCTCAAATGAAACTCAACATATCCTTCCTCACGCCCTCAAAAGAAACTCAACATCACTTGACTAAGTAGAAACTCAACATTTTTTGCCTGAAAAGAATTTCAACATCTCCTGCCTCAAAAAAAAAAAAAAAAAAAAAAAATAAATAAATAAAATAAAAATAAAAAAAACCTCAACATCTCCTGACTCAGAGGAAACGCAACATCCCCTCCTCGAAAGAAACTCTATATCTCTTGGACTAAGTAGAAACTCATAATCTTCTGACTTAGAAGAAACACAACATCCCCTCCTCAAAAGAAACTCAACATTTCCTGATTCAAAAGAATCAAAACATCTCCTGCCTCAAAAGAAACTCAACATCTCCTGACTCAGAAGAAACGCAACATCCTCTCCTCAAAAGAAACTTAACATCTCTTGACTAAGTAGAAACTCATAATCTCCTGACTCAGAAGAAATACAACATCCCCTCCTAAAAAAACTCAACATATCCTGATTCAAAAAAATCAAAAGATCTCCTGCCTAAAAAAGAAACTCAACATCACTTGACTAGTAGAAACTCAACATTTTTTGCCTCGAAAGAAGTTCTTCATCCCCTTTCTCAAAAGAAACTGAACATCTCCTGACTAAGTAGAAAATCATAATCCCCGGACTCAGAAGAAACTCAACATGTAGAGCCTCAGAAGAAACTCAACATCTTATGACTCAGAAGAAACTCAACATATCCTGCCTCAAAAGAAACTCAATATATTCCGCCTCAAAAGAAACTCAACATATTCCGCCTCAAAAGAAACTCAACATTTCCTGACTCAGAAGAAACTTAACATCTTCTGATTCCAAGTAATATCATTTGTAGCCTTAGACAGGTATGTTTCTATGAATCTAAGCAGTTGGTACGGGCGGGTGTTTAAGTTTAAATATTAATGATATTAGTTTAAATGCTAGATAATTTAATAAATGTTATATTTAGCGATTGATATAGTTGCGAAGGTCCTTTGAACAAATGTGTTGTAATCCATAAATATTTCTATAATGCCCTAGTCAATACAAGGGCTTATGAACAACTGGTACCAACCCTAGCTAAGGTTGCACACCTTAACAGCTAACCGTGTACATGTGCTGCTATAGCAATTTCTATAACAGCTTTTGCGTCATACACAACAGAACTCTAACAGTTAATCGTTTACTACTCTGCTTAATTGGATATTGTTTTTATTCAATTATTTTTTTCGCCAAGACGGAATTCCCTGATAGCCAAATAAAACTTCATATAATTCTCAACAAAGGTCTCTTTTGGTGGCAACTATGTTTGTTGCTTTTTGTTTTTTGTTGTTTTTATTTGTTTTTGTTTGGAAAGACAAATACTTGGCAGGTGTCGTTAAAACTCCAGAAACCACCGTAACTCTCTCCTGCGCAGTAGCACCTGTGGCCATCCCGTGTACATCTTCCTAGACTGCTAATCCAGTAGCTTCTGTGACCTCTGTAACTCCAGGAATCCCCATAATATCCGATAGTCCACTAGCTTCCTTCAGCTCCATTACATCCCGTTGGCCTTACAATTTTTTTAAAGGTTTTTAAGGTTCCTTGCGCAAAACTCTCTTTTTAAAATATTTTTTCGGTTGGATTAGGATTCTATACATAAGTAGGTATTTTTTGTGTTTGTGAAATACCAACAAAATAGAATAATGGTTTAATCTTTAATCGACAATGAAGTAAATTCGTATCTCAACGTCCGACAGGTCCAGTAGGTCCTGTAGGTCCTGTAGGTCCAGTAACCCCCGTAACTCCGGCTAGTCCTGCTACACCAGACCCTGTAGCTCCAGTAGGCCCTGTAGCTCCAGTAACCCCTGTAACTCCAGCCACGCCACTTCCAGTTGCTCCTGTTGGTCCTGTAGCACCTGTTGGTCCTGTGGGTCCAGTAACTCCAGCTGCTCCGGTAGGTGACAATCCAGTTGACCCTGTTACTCCGGTAACACCAGAGGCTCCCGTAGTGCCTTGAGGACCCGGTGGACCTTCATTAATGTCGGTCAAAGTAAGCAGAACCCCTCCTGTCATAAAACAAAACAATTATTAAAAGTATTCAAATCATGTTTCAATGATCTCTCCTTTTATAATTATTCAGTGGGAATTCCAATATGATCCATGATAATGATTTGTCAGTTAGTATTGATTGCTTTTATGTCTGGCTTTTCGGGGATAATCTGGTTAATTTTGTTTCAACGCCTTACGGTTTTTACGTTAGATTGACATGTTTTGATTCCACGTAGTAGAAACATACCCAACTTTACTCTGAATATTATACTGTTTTTTCTTGTTGATATTTGTTGTTTTCCATTATCGGAAATTGGAAAATGGAATTTTTCGCCTCAACTATTTAAAATTAGCATATTTGTGAATATTTATATAAAGAATAATACGGACTTCTTGGATCCTTTTGATAGCTCTTCATGACATTGTTGACATGGGCAGCTTTGGCGATAACAGGTGACATTAATATGTCATTCAACATATTATAGGATCCCCCTTTTCGGTCTTATTGTCCAGTTTTTTTTTATCTTAATATTCATTTGTTGTTGCAAAATTATACACAGAAATTCTTATCATCGAACTTGGAAATACATTTAATTTTAGTGCATTATCGCCGTTTAGCAAATTATCGCCATGATGAATGTTTGTATACATAAAGGTTGCTATATAAACAACATTCAGGAATAATCGCAGTCATATTACAGCGCAATACTTTCAGCCGGAAAATTTTCGCTAATATTTGACGCTTACAGTAGCTTGTTTCAACATCCTTGATAAGCAGTCTGAAAATTGAAAGGAAACAGCATATTTGAAATAACATAGTGTATCAAATATCTGGTCAATGATTTATATTCAAGTTTCAGCTGTTAGTCCGTAAACACTTTCTTTAATTTAGTAAAATAGGTCCTGTTATTTCGTCAACACGTTCGACGAGCTGATTGGAAGTTTACTGTACATTTCGTGTGAAAAAAAAACCCATAAATAGTCGAACTTCGTTATCTCGAAGTCGGCGGGATCGTGGGAAAACTTTGGGTTATTCGATTATTCGATTTAAGTAAGATCGAATGTTTAGTGTAAATTTTGGCCGGTTGTAAACAGAAGAGTAAAACAATTTGTAATATACATCAGCACAAATTTAATTAAATGATTGTTAGAACTAAGTTATATACAGCGAAAGCAAATTTTGACCAGATACCTTTACATTGATATCTGGTTTTCTACGTTATAGATATAAGTATTGTGTGATGTCAGCGTCACCTTTCTAAACAATAAAATGAATTCCTTATGGTATTTAACAGTTTGATTCTTAGCGTTGTTTGGAAGAAGGATAATAAAGTACCCAGAATGTCTTACAAATGTTAATAATCAGAAACATTAATTACCTATTAAAACGGTAATCTTTATAAAGTTATATTTCAGTTTCAGTAAACAGGCAAGTCATCTCATGTCAAATTAAAATGGCGAACTGTTCAATGCGACGTCACTTTTGGCATTTTATTTGTTGTTTAATATATCTATCCCCTGATTGTCATCGTTGTCACATGGTTGTCACATGGTTGTTCCTATCATCAGGAGCGTTGTTTGTTTACTTGTTGATTCACTTTGGAAGTTTCTTTTCATATTAACAATCAAGTATCAGTGCCGTCCTCTTCATGTAATTTTGTGTCAAATCTATTTGGAATACTCTAATTATTCTACATCTCAGGAATTGAGCTATTAAGGCAAGGTTTTCTGATTATAAAATGTGGTAAAAACGTAGACACACTGCCATTTCATATTCAATCCCAAAGAAAGAAGAGAAAGGCGAGTTGTCGATCACCAAGATGGGGGGCGAGTGTGTTGCCAACGAACAACCGTCCAACATGATATTTCTAAATACATGCTTAACCTTATACCAGAGAGAAATCTTGTATTATAATTTCTCTATAACTGTCGACAAGCAACGATAAGAATTTTATTCATGTGTTCTGAACACTTTAAATGGCAACCTCTCTATCTTCTCAAAGTTGTCGTCTTTGCGCTCGAATGAAAAGACGACATTTAGTAAATAATTTCACAACTTTGTCTGTACTTTTTTATTATTTCGCTACGAAAAGACGACAGTATGTAAGAAAATACATTTCTCGTCCATAAGTGTTGTTCATGTCGCTGTGACACAGTATATTCAGTTAGTATTTACAAATCTCTTAAGTTTGTTTTTGCTCTGAAAAGATATTAAGTAAGTTATGTAATTCTGTAAATACGTCTTCATAATTTTGCCATGAAAATACGATATCTAGTAAATACTTAAAAATCTCCTTTGTTCGTCTTTATTATTTTCCCTTGAAAAAAAATGGCGTTATACAACAATATAAATCTCAACCCTACGTCTTCCTTCTTTAGCGGTTTCGCCGCTATAGAATAAAAAAAATAGATTTCTTGTTGTAGGTACATCAATCTACATAGTATTACTTCTAATATATATTAAGGTAAGTTAGAGACAGAGGAAAGGATGGACATGCGCCACTTTCCCGAGGCATAATTTGGCAGAATCCATCACATGATCATAACTAACGGAGATGAACAGGCATAATACTCCTTGTTCAAGTCCCTGCTCACTAAAATTATATGACTTTTCCCTACCAAGCACAAGTGCCAATGTGAGGAACTCCACCCACAATGAGGCCAACGAAAAGCCCGACGATAGCCCAAATAGGTCAGTTGGTACTGTTCCGGTTCCTAAAGTAGCCATGACCTAAAAAAAACCACATTCGTTAGAAAAAAAAGGCATGCGTGTTGACAAAATCACAATTCTAGCTAGAAATCGAGAAAATGTTTGCAAAAATATGAGCAAAATATTGATTTTTACACAATGAAAATGTTTGCAAGATTACGTATTTTTTTAGCGAATCTGCTTGGCCAGGTGTTTTGCTCTATGTTCTGAATACCTCTTTAGTAAAATCTGTCTAAAACACAAGCAATTCCACAAAGATAATAAAACCTTATAATCTATCAGACTAAATCACTAACAAAGTTAACAATGACATTATCAACAAGACATTCAGCTAGCATCAATTTTATCTTCAGATTTTCATCACGAGCATAGAATGTACGATATATTTGGGATGATCAGGTGGCGCTGTGGTAACTTTATCGACATTCACCTAAATGCCGTGTTTCGGTTATAAAACGGACATGAAAAGGTATCGGGATCACTTGTCCAATGACATGGGTTTTCAACCGGTACTGGGGTTTCCTCAAACAGTAAGACCCATCGCGCGTTTTAATCCGGGCCAACAAAAGTGATTGACATAAACTTCAAGCTTGTTTTGATGTTGTTGTAAGATAAAGTTTATATCTATATTTTACGTTTCACAAAACGCTATATTATAAAAGATAACCCTCCTCGTATAAGTGTTTCCTTTAAAATGGAAGCCCACGACAAGAGAATAAGTGAATTAATTAAGTCTATAATGGGGTTGGGTTGAGTAGATGTACAAAAAGTAACAGGTAGCATATTTTAAGAAGTGAATTTCGATAAAGTGTAAAGATTCCATTTCGAACGAGAAAGATTGATAATGTTCCCCACCATATAGCTTTTCACATTTATTGTTATCAATTTTAATTTCCACCTGTCCTACAAACACTAGAAACCCTGTTTAATAAACATTGGTTCACAATCTATATGTATTGTATCTAGTTGATAATTTCTGTGCTAAACATTTTTTGTGTTCTTTTAGTTTGTTCCTAAACTGTTCTAAATGGTTATTTACATGTACTATGTTAGTTTTATGTAGTTTTAATTCTAAGCGATCAGCTGTAAATAGCATTAGCTTTCGATATTCTTTGATATCAAAATATATAAATATATATATATAAAGATGGTTTCAATTTCCACATCTTATCTAAAGATTTATTTGTAGAAAAATCGACAACCCTTCATGAACATTATAACGAAAATTACAAATGATGATAACATACATTAAGAAGAGAGATTGAATATACGTAATACTTACTCAGTCGGCAGTCCAGTAGCTTTAAAGAGATCTGGTCGATAACACCGACAACAGCGCAACTGGCAATCGCGATAGATATACATGATGTGTTAAAGATATAGATCTAGGTAAACCAATGGTTAAGTGATCTGTCAAAGTGTACAAGTTATCCATCATATTTTGAAAATGTGAGGAACCTTCAAATTTCAGGAGTGTTAACCGATTCATCATTTACATAAAATCGTTCCCTGTATATATTTACCACAAGTAAACAGCTTAACTGACTACATTTAAGATTAAGAGAAGTTGAGACTATGAACTGACTCTGTTTAAGATTTAGAGAAGTAGACTGTGAACTGACTCCATTTAAGATTTAGAGAAGTGGAGACTCTGAACTGATTACATTTAAGATTTAGAGAAGTTGAGACTATGAACTGACGATATCAAGATTTAGAGAAGTGGAGACTCTGAACTGATTACATTTAAGATTTAGAGAAGTGGAGACTCTGAACTGACGATATTAAGTTTTAGAGAAGTGGAGACTCTGAACTGACGATATTAAGATTTAGAGAAGTGGAGACTGTGAACTGTCTATATTTCAGATTTAGAGAGGTGAAGACTGTGAACTGTCTATATTTAAGATTTAGAGAAGTGGAGACTCTGAACTGTCTATATTTAAGATTTAGAGAAGTGGAGACTGTGAACTGTCTATATTTAAGATTTAGAGAAGTGGAGACCCTGAACTGTCTATATTTAAGATTTAGAGAAGTGGAGACTGTGAACTGTCTATATTTAAGATTTAGAGAAGTGGAGACTCTGAACAGACGATATTAAGATTTAGAGAAGTGGAGACTGTGAACTGTCTATATTTAAGATTTAGAGAAGTGGAGACTGTGAACTGTCTATATTTCAGATTTAGAGAAGTGAAGACTGTGAACTGTCTATATTTAAGATTTAGAGAAGTGGAGACTCTGAACTGTCTATATTTAAGATTTAGAGAAGTGGAGACTCTGAACTGTCTATATTTAAGATTTAGAGAAGTGGAGACTCTGAACTGTCTATATTTAAGATTTAGAGAAGTGGAGAGTCTGAACTGACTATATCTAAGTTTTAGAAAAGTGGATACTCTGAACTGTATATATCTAAGATTTAGAGAAGTGAAGACTGTGAACTGTCTATATTTCAGATTGAGAGAAGTGGAGACTCTGAACTGTCTATATTTAAGATTTAGAGAAGTGGAGACTGTGAACTGTCTATATTTCAGATTTAGAGAAGTGGAGACTCTGAACTGACGATATTTCAGATTAAGAGAAGTGGAGACTGTGAACTGTCTACATTTAAAATTTAGAGAAGTGGAGACTGTGAACTGTCGATATTGAAGATTTAGAGAAGTGGAGACTGTGAACTGTCTATATTTAAGATTTAGAGAAGTGGAGACTGTGAACTGTCTATATTTAAGATTTAGAGAAGTGGAGACTCTGAACTGTCTATATTTAAGATTTAGAGAAGTGAAGACTGTGAACTGTCTATATTTAAGATTTAGAGAAGTGGAGACTCTGAACTGTCTATATTTCAGATTTAGAGAAGTGGAGACTCTGAACTGACGATATTTCAGATTAAGAGAAGTGGAGACTGTGAACTGTCTAAATTTAAGATTTATAGAAGTGGAGACTGTGAACTGTCTATATTGAAGATTTAGAGAAGTGGAGACTGTGAACTGTCTATATTTCAGATTTAGAGAAGTGAAGACTGTGAACTGTCTATATTTAAGATTTAGAGAAGTGGAGACTCTGAACTGTCTATATTTAAGATTTAGAGAAGTGAAGACTGTGAACTGTCTATATTTAAGATTTAGAGAAGTGGAGACTGTGAACTGTCTATATTTAAGATTTAGAGAAGTGGAGACTCTGAACTGTCTACATTTAAAATTTAGAGAAGTGGAGACTGTGAACTGTCGATATTGAAGATTTAGAGAAGTGGAGACTCTGAACTGTCGATATTGAAGATTTAGAGAAATGAAGACTCTGAACTGTCTATATTTAAGATTTAGAGAAGTGGAGACTCTGAACTGTCTATATTTAAGATTTAGAGAAGTGGAGACTGTGAACTGTCTATATTTCAGATTTAAAGAAGTGGAGACTCTGAACTGACGATATTTCAGATTAAGAGAAGTGGAGACTGTGAACTGTCTACATTTAAAATTTAGAGAAGTGGAGACTGTGAACTGTCTATATTGAAGATTTAGAGAAGTGGAGACTGTGAACTGTCTATATTTCAGATTAAGAGAAGTGGAGACTGTGAACTGTCTATATTTCAGATTAAGAGAAGTGGAGACTGTGAACTGTCTATATTTAAGATTTAGAGAAGTGGAGACTCTGAACTGACGATATCTAAGATTTAGAGAAGTGAAGACTGTGAACTGTCTATATTTCAGATTGAGAGAAGAGGATAATCTGAACTGTCTATATTTAAGATTTAGAGAAGTGGAAACTCTGAACTGTCTATATTTAAGATTTAGAGAAGTGGAGACTCTGAACTGTCTATATTTAAGATTTAGAGAAGTGGAGACTCTGAAGATTGAGAGAAGTGGAGACTGTGAACTGTCTATATTTCAGATTAAGAGAAGTGGAGACTGTGAACTGTCTATATTTAAGATTAAGAGAAGTGGAGACTCTGAACTGTCTATATTTAAGATTAAGAGAAGTGGAGACTCTGAACTGTCTATATTTAAGATTTAGAGAAGTGGAGACTCTGAACTGTCTATATTTAAGATTTAGAGAAGTGGAGACTCTGAACTGTCTATATTTAAGATTAAGAGAAGTGGAGACTCTGAACTGTCTATATTTAAGATTTAGAGAAGTGGAGACTCTGAACTGTCTATATTTAAGATTTAGAGAAGTGGAGACTCTGAACTGTCTATATTTAAGATTTAGAGAAGTGAAGACTCTGAACTGTCTATATTTAAGATTTAGAGAAGTGGAGACTCTGAACTGTCTATATTTAAGATTTAGAGAAGTGGAGACTCTGAACTGTCTATATTTAAGATTTAGAGAAGTGGAGATTGTGAACTGTCGATATTGAAGATTTAGAGAAGTGGAGACTGTGAACTGTATATATCTGAAGATTTAGAGAAGTGAAGACTCTGAACTGTCTATATTTAAGATTTAGAGAAGTGGAGACTGTGAACTGTCTATATTTAAGATTTAGAGAAGTGGAGACTGTGAACTGTCTATATTTCAGATTTAGAGAAGTGGAGACTCTGAACTGACGATATTTCAGATTAAGAGAAGTGGAGACTGTGAACTGTCTACATTTAAAATTTAGAGAAGTGGAGACTGTGAATATATTGAAGATTTAGAGAAGTGGAGACTGTGAACTGTCTATATTTAAGATTTAGAGAAGTGGAGACTGTGAACTGTCTATATTTAAGATTTAGAGAAGTGGAGACTCTGAACTGTCTATATTTAAGATTTTTAGACTGTCTATATTTCAGATTGAGAGAAGTGGATACTCTGAACTGTCTATATTTCAGATTTAGAGAAGTGGAGACTCTGAACTGTCTATATTTCAGATTAAGAGAAGTGGAGACTGTGAACTGTCTACATTTAAAATTTAGAGAAGTGGAGACTGTGAACTGTCGATATTGAAGATTTAGAGAAGTGGAGACTGTGAACTGTCTATATTTCAGATTTAGAGAAGTGGAGACTGTGAACTGTCTATATTTAAGATTTAGAGAAGTGGAGACTCTGAACTGTCT